CACTGAAGTCTTGAAGCCCTCGAAGTCGTCCATGAGAGTTAAATAAACCTCTTCCAAATTCCTGTTAATGTTGATATTTTGACCTCTTTCAACAAATCACAAATGTTCTTAATGACATCCAGAATGGGGAATCCTTTCTAGAAGGTTTTCAATTTACTTTGCCGACATCAATCAGAAGAATTACTATGGCAGTTCTAACCTTCTGAAATGTATTTATCAAATAATAAGACTGGGAAGTCAAAATTACTCCTTGATCCATTGGCTACAGAATGGACTTTTCGTTAGCAGGCCTGAAAAGAACATGAATCTCATTGTACATCTCTATCAGAGCTCTTGGGTGAACAGGTGCATTGTCAATGAGGAACAATACTTTGAAAGGAATCCTCTTGTCTGAGCAATAGATCTCAACAGTAGGCTTAAAATATTCAATAAAGCATGTTCTAAACAGATACCCAAGTTTTACTGTTTCAGTCATATAGCACGGGCAGAGTAGATTTAGCATAATTCTAAGGACCCCAGGATTTTCAGAATGGCAAGTGAACATAAAGTCATCAGCTGCATTAGCCTAGAAAAAGAGAGCCAGTCTGTCCTTCAAAGCTTTGAAGCCAGGCGTTGAGTTCTCCTCTCTAGCTACGAGCGTCCTAGATGGCATCTTCTTCCAACATAAGGCTGCTTCATCTACATTGAAACTCTGTTGTTCAGTGTAGCCACCTTCATGAATTTTCTTAGCTGGATCTTCTGGAGAACTTGCTGCAGCTTCTACAGCAGCACGTGCTGCTTCCCCTTGCACTTCTATGTTATGGAGATGGCTTCTGTCCTTGAACATCGTGAACCCACCTCTGTTAGCTTCAACTTTTCCTCTGCTGTTTCCCAACCTGTCCCAGCATTCATAGAATTGAAGGGCGTTACAGCCTTGCTCTGCATTAGGCTTTGGCTTAAGGGAATGTTGTGGCTGATTTGATCTTCTATCCAGATTGCAAAAACTTTGTCCACATCAGCAATAAGGCTGTTTCACTTTCTTACCATTTGTGTGTTCACTGCAGTAGCACTTTTCATTTCCTTCAAGAACTTTTCCTTTGCAGTCACAACTTGGCTAGCTTGTGTAAGGGGCCTAGCTTTTGGCTTATCTAGGCTTTGATATGCCTTCCTCACTCAGCTTACTCATTTCTAGCATTTATAACTTAAAATGAGGGACACGAGGGTCTTCTTTTCACTTGACCACCTAAAGGCCATTGAACAGTTATTAACTGGCCTAATTTCCATATTGTTGTGTCTCACTGAATAGGGAGGCCCTGGGAGAGGGATGGAGATCCTGGAACAGTCGGTGGAGCAGTCAGAACAAACACAACATTTATTGATTAAATTCACTGTCCTATATGGGCAGAGTTCATGGTGTCAAAAACAATTACAGCTGTAACATCACAGATCACTGACCACAAATCACCACAATAAATATAATAGTAATGAAAAACTTTGAAATATTGTGGGAATTTCCAGAATGTGACACAAAGAAACAAAGTGAGCAAATGCTTTGGCCAAAATGGCGCTCATAGACCGATGGACACAGGGTTGACACAAACCTTTGATTTTTTATTTATTATTCTATTTTTTATTTTTTATTTATTTATTTTTTTGAGGAAGACCAGCCCTGAGCTAACTACAGCCAATCCTCCTCTTTTTGCTGAGGAATACTGGCCCTGAGCTAACATGAGTGCCCATCTTCCTCTACTTTCTATGTCGGATGCCTACCACAGCATGGCTTTTGCCAAGCAGTACCACATCCAAACCCAGGGTTCTGAACCAGCAAAACCCCCGCCACCGAGAAGCAGAACATGCAAACTTAACTGCTGCGCCACACAGCCGGTCCCCAGACCTTTGATTTTTTAAAAAAGCGTATCTGCAAAGGGCAATAAAGCAGAGTGAGATACACTGTGGTATGCTTGCACGATATATTTGATTTTAAGTCTTATCGAATTGAGATGATTTTTGAAATAGGCAGTTGAAATAAATGACAAACGGTTTTTGAATTATAGCTTGCTTCTTTTTCTGCCCCAGTGGTTGTTAGATTAGTGAGGTCTAATCCAACTGTGACTTGAGAGTTGAGAGAATATGTTTGCAAATCCTAGCTGTGTGATATATACACAAAACATGCAGAATTCAAACAGACTAAAAGTGCCAGAACATAAGGTAAGTTTTTCTTTCTCAAAACTATCCCTGAGAAAACAGGGGTCGCCTTATGTTCCAGTCCTTGTGTAACTTCTTGTACTAAAAGAGGCTATTCTAATACTCTGCTGTGATCCAAAAATACTACTTGGACAAGATCTCCAGACGAAATTAACTCAATTAGCACTAGTTTTGGAACTAAAGGTGGTGAAAGAAAATAAAGAAATTGATCGTGGTTTGGTAAATATTACTTGGGAATAAAGCTCTACAGTTTATGCTTTCATTACACTTTCTATTTCTATAGAACAGAATAAATGAAATTTATTTCTATTTCTATTCTATATTTCTATTCTATATTTCTATTATATAATATTATATATATTCTATATATAGAATTCTATATATAGAATATATAGAATATTGTAGAATATTTCTATTCTATAGAACAGAACAAATGAAAAAAAAAATCCTTCCTTTTATTTTATCAGTGGAGAGTTGCCTCTTTGAATAAAATATCCAGTGATATCATCCTACCGGGATCCCCAAACAGACACTCAGTCCCTAAGGTGACCCAGAGAGTTGCTCTAAGAAGATGTTTTAGATGCATGCGAAGACTCTGAACAAAATGTTTAATGAAATGTTTTAATGAGGGCAAAAAGAACATTTCTCAACTCATATTTGTATTGATATAATTTTTAAGTTTGTGGCCATAATCTAATTAAGAAATTATGTATTATAAATGGATATTTGTATTTATCTATATCACTAGAAATTTATAGATTCGAGCTGCAAAAGCCCCTCTTTTTTTGACTTCCAGACATTTCTACTGGAAAATGAGGGGCCATTTTATATCAGGCTAATATTATTTGAGATAATTCTTATTACATTATAATAATTTTTAGAGACAGGTAAAAATTGGTCTCAGAAAATTGAAAGTTTTACCAATCACTGACTGTTTATTATATTGTGACCTGTAGACTAGGTGGTGATTAATACATTTATCTGTACTCCTGAATTCATAAAGAATTCCAATGGTGGCCATTTGAATTCTGAAGAATTGACATTTTTATCACTGACCATGTTGGAAATTTCCTTATGTAATTTCATTTACTCCTCACAGCATCCATGAGATGATTGTTGCCTAGATTGAACAGATAGGTAGGAATACATCAAAATGTTATCAGAGATTACTGTTGATATATGATTTTAATTTTGTCTTTATTTTTGTATTTTGAAATTTTTTTCATGATTAGCAAGTATTATTTTTGTAATTTTAGTAGAGAAATAACAAGTGAACCAAATCATCCATGCAAAAGGATGATTATACAGAAAAGGTAAACCCAGGATCAAAGTCTGTACTTGTCCTTGCACTACATTGTCCTAAAAAAAGTTTGCCAGAACCAGCATGAATTATATCTGTGCCACCATTATTTAATTTGCTGCAATTTATTGAATATGTAGTAAGTTAAGGAAAAAAGAATTAGAATGCTGCTTTTCAGTTTATGAATTCTTTGTTCATATGATCACAGCCACTAAGGAAACCAAATTATATAATTTCTTTCATGTTTTCAATGCTTTACCTATTTTGTGAGAATTCTTTGAAAACTTTCATTTCAATGGATCTAGTGGGCTAGCAACATCCTTGTGAGATGTTCTCTTTCATTCAGGCAAAATTTTACCTTTAAGGCTAACAAGGACTGAATAAATTTACTGGACTGAATTTAGAAAAAAAATAAACCCAGCTTATGACATTCTTGAATACGGTCATCCAGTTAAATATTTTAATACCTGATGTTAATCATCCTCTCACCAAATGACACGTTTAGCAATTTTCATTCATATTTACTATTAGCTATTTTTGGAATCAAATATCTAAAGTTCATTACACATCTTTCAATACAGAAATAGCAAATGGACCTACTTCCTCCCCCTCTTAGGGCCTCACAATTGGTGTAACTAGTTAACTCCTTGTGAATGTCCTCCTTGCTAGCTCAGGCAGAGAACTGACTCCCAGGACCTGGATGGAATAGAACACTTATCCACTAGACTAGAAGCTTTAGAACATTGGGACTGAGTCTATTTGTGTCTTGTCACCATTTTATCTCTAGCCTCCAGTATAGAAAGTGTCTTCAATGAGGGTTTTTGTCAGAATGAAAGAGCAAACGAGGATGTAAAACCATGCAGACTCTTTTCATGGACCTTGAGCAGAAATGGCTTAATGAACTCACAAATTCCCCTAAACTGGCCCATCTCTAGGAAATTCATCCAGAGTTGTGAGCATACATTTTCACTGATCTCAGTATACTTTTAAGGAGTTAGAGTAATAAGTGAGATTTATTAATGTTCTATAATCAATTACTTTAAGAATTAGTTTTTTGCACTGCTGTTGGGGATGACATTAAAAAACCCATAATATACGTTTGGCAGGTTATTGAAAGAAAGGAGAACTAAGTTTTACCTCAAAATATAGAGAAGAGGTAATTAATAAAAGTGTCTCTCACTAAAAGATCGTCTACAAGTAAAGCATCTTGAAGCAATAACTTCTAATGGATAACTGCTATAGTCCTAAAACCATGTGAACTTCTAGTATGACTCTACTATTTTTTTTGTGTGTGTTTTAAAAGTATAATTTCAATCTGCTTACAACCAGGGAAGTAAACAAACTATTTACAGAGTAGTTTTGTTTTCCTATACAGTAACCAGCAGCTGTAAACTTGCTGTTCATATGCCGAGCCCACATATACGACAGTCAAGTAAGGATGATCCTAAATTGCTTTTTCTAAAAAGCACTTATCAACTTTTCATTACTAGGGTAAAAATAGAAAAAAATTACTTACCAGAGGGAGTTACTATGAGCTTAGTTCCGTCTCCAAATATCTTGATCCAGTTTGAGGTATCACACTGGTTACAGCTTCTGCAAAAACTCAGCCTTCTCCTCAGGTTCATGATGTAACTAGCAGTTAAAAAGCTGTGTACTGGCAATTTGATCTTCTGAGTTCCTTTGGAAGTCCTTGAATATAAGCTTCGTGGCATCAGATATTTTACAATTTTTCCTCAGATAAATTGACCCAAATGTCTGTTTTCCAGCAAGGTGGTAATCATTGAAAAGCATTGATGGCAAAGGGAAAGAATAAAAGAGGAAAAAGAAGAGATCATTCCCAACTTGTCAAGCAACTACTTTTTAAAATCACTAGGAAAAGCATTCAGAGAATAAAGTTTTGTTTTGTTTTTTTATTTCCAGGTGTTCAGTTGTTTAAACTGCTCAGAGATTGCATCAAAGGAAAGGACCTTTTGTTCTCACAAACATCAGCGCTGCTTCATTAGTGATTTTGGAATGTGTTTCTGAAAGGAAGATACTCTTTAGCAGCTAAAATGGAAATATGCCCATTTTAGGCATATTCAAATATATGGCAATTCGAATATACTGGAGAAATGTGAACAAACTTCCCATTTATTTTACTTTATCTTTTTTGCTAAGGAAGATTTGCCCTGAGCTAACATCCACTGTAAATCGTTCCCATTTTTTTGTATGTGAGTTGACACCACAGCATGGTCACTAACGTGAGTGATGTGAGTCCGGGCCAGGGAACTGAACCCAGGCTGCCGAGTCAGAGTGCACTGAACTTACCACTAGGCCACCGAGGTCAAAGTTTCCCACTTTTAATGAAGCCTTGTTACCATTGGCAATATGATTCTTCACCCAGCAATGTCAATGAGAAAATGATTTCTGTGATGACATTACTTTTCCTGGAATAAATGCAGAAATTTATATAATTCTATCTCCTATGAAATATCAGGTTCTTTATTTAAACTAAAATTTGAAATGACATCAAGCACTTTTTCCAAACACAAGGTTATGAAACTAGAAATCAACTGTGAGAATAAAGCTGGTAGAATCACAAATATGCTACTGAATAACTATAGGATCAATGAACAAGTCACAGGGGAAATATAAATAAAGTAGCTAAAGACAAATTAAAAGGAAACATGTCCTACCAAAATCTATGAGATGCATCAAAACTGGTACTATGTGCAATGTTTTTAGCAATACAGGCCTACCTCTAAAAACAAGAAAAACGTTTATCTCCAATAAACACTCTAACATAACACTAAAGGAACAAGAAAAGGGAAAACAAAGAAAGCCAAAAATCAGTAGAAGGAAGGAAATCATAAAAAGCAGAGTGGAAATAAATGAACTAGAGATGAAAAAGAAATAGAAAGGATCAATGAAACTAAGAGCTGGTTCTTTGAAAAGATAAACAAAATTGACACACCTTTACTAGACTCACTAAGAAAAAAAAAGAAGACTCAAATAAGTAAAATCAGAAATGAAAGAGAGAAAATTACGACAAAGACCACAGAAAGAAAATTGATAGTAAGAGAATAATATGAACAGCTAAATGCAAACATATTAGATAATATAGAAGAAATGCAGAAATTCTCAGAATCAACAACCTTCCAAACTGAATCAAGAAGAAATAGTCTGAATATACCAAGCACATGCAAGGTGATTGAAATAGCAATCAAAAACCTAAAAAGTACAAAAGTTCAGAACCAGACGACTTCTCTGGTGACTTCTACCAAACACTGAAAGAAAATCTAATAGCTCTCCTTCTCAAACTCTTAAAAATATTGGAGAGAAGGTGATGATTCCTAACTTATTTTACAAGTTCAACATTGCCCTGATACCAAAAACAGACAAGCACAACAAAAAGAAGAAAATTACAGGTCAGTATTGCTGACAAACATAAATGCAAAATTATCAACAAAATATTGGCAAGTTGAACACAATAGCATATTAAAAGAATCATACATCACGATCAAGAGAAATTTCTTCCAGGGAGGCAAGGGTGGTTGAACATCCACAAACCAATCAACAGGATTCACCACACTAACTAAACGGAGAATAAAAATCCCATGATCATCTAATAAATGTAGAGAAAATATTTGACAAGATTCAGAATACATTTATGATAAAAACTCACAGTAAAATGGGTATAGAAGGAAAATATCCTTACATAATAAAGGCCATGTTAGTCAAGCCCACAGATAATATCACCCTCATCGGTGGAAAACTGAAAGCAATCCTCCAAGAACAGGAATGAGACAAGGATCCCCAATTTTGCCACTTATTCAAAATAGTATTGGAAATCCCAGCAAGAACAATTAGATACAAAGAGGAATTAAAGCTATCCAAATTGGAAAGGAAGAAGTAAAACTGTCACTATTTGTGGAAGACATGATTTTATATCTAGAAAATCCTAACGAATCCACTAAAAAACTGCTAGAATAATAAATGAAAACAGTACCTCAAATTTACTCAGAAGAATGCCTGACTCCATCCTGACACTACTGTCAGATGAAATGTGCAGCAGGGCCTGCAGGGTTGGACCAGAGCTTTCCTGATATCAATATACGGACGTCGTAGATATTGTTACCCCAGATACCTCACGTTCCAGGCAGCTGTGTTTGACAGACATATAGGAATGGAAAGCTGAGGTTTGTCCAGATGACCCGCACCATACATACACACTGACAAATGAGGGAAGGAGAAGACTAATGAGCAAAATCTTAGAATTTTTAAAAACTACAATGTTAGAGAATACCTGTCAATGGGAATTGCGGGAAGAAAACAACTTACAAGCTCCAAGGACTGGGAGAGGTAATGCTTGGAAGAGTGACAGCATGTCTGAATCAATTGACCTCTCCTCCAGGGCAGCCTGCAACCCCTACTGAGAAGAGTCTCAGACCATGCAGCTTGGCTGAGTCCATCAAGTCAAACCTCCCGTTGGGGAGGGTGAACATGGCTTCCTTGCCTCATTGTGAAGAAGTGTGCTCACCACTGTTTGCATATCTACTCTACGTGAAGACAGCAGAGCAAGGTCCTCCACCTTAGATCAGACCACATGGTAGAGACGGCCACCACAGAACTCTGAGAGGACTCATTTATCCCAACAGTATTCATGAAGCTCCCACTATGAGCAAGACATTATGCTAAGTTACTTGAGTGTAATAAAGATGCAATGATATGGCACCTAACCGGGGAGAGCTGTCCAATGGGGAAACCACTATGACTCAATGCTATAATGTTGGTCTTCTCTCCTTTCTCCCACTGTCATTCATGGAATAAATCATCAATAACTCCACTGAGTTGTCACACCAGAGTTGATGAGAAGAAGAAAAGACGGTCTATGCTGTGGTACCCATAATTGGGGCCAAAGAGAACTTCTTCAACCACCTGGAAAGACATTGGTTCATCACTGTGTTACCATATTTTCAGCTACCCACGCACCCTACAGCTTACAGTGGTACCAGCAACTTGAGGGGTCTGAATACTCTATTCTGGTTTGTTGGCTTCTCTTTAAGGTTTAGGTTTATGTCCTCTCTCTCAGCTACCTGAACAACTTATCCCTACTAAATCCCAGCTTCTTCTCTATGAAACTGGGGTTCCTCATTCTGGATTCCTGGCTTTCCTTTTTGTCTGTTTTTTCTTCTTCTAACCCAAGACTTTCCATCTGTCTTAGGGTATATTTACGGACTGCCCTTCACCAATCCACCAAAAGTTGTTGGGATCCATATTTCTATTCTTACTTTACTTGATTTGCCTGAGCGATCTTTTCCATTCTTGGCTTTAATTATCTTGAGGAAATTGGGAAAGCAATGATAGGAGGAAATTACAGACCCATATCCATCCCACACCTTCTCCTGGGCTCCATGCTCACATATCCAGCTGACTAACGGGCATGGTCATGTGTATGTGATTTAGTAGCTCAAACTGTCTTTATACATAGCCCAGGTGAACTCTTTCGCACCCCCAACCCATCTCTTCTTCCTCCCTCACTAAAGGACTTTGTTACCCACTTTGTGCAAGTCAGGATCCTGAGGGTCAGCCTCCATTCTCCCCTTTAAGAGGAGTTAAAACCTCAGTGAAGGTCACAGAACTCAAAAGGGCAAAGTAGGAGTCAGTGAGGGGAGAAGATGGGGTGTAGGACGGTGCGGAGGTTCACAGCAGAGCACTGGGCAGCTCCCCTGGGGAATGTGGATGATGCTGTTCTGTAAGGAGACAAGTGAGGAGCTTGTTCCTCCTGTTGGCCACACCCTCATTATCACTAGTTCACAGAGCTCACTCCTCCATGGAGTCAGGCACTGAGATGGGGGCAAGAAGAAGAAAGGGTTCTGTGTTATTAGGACAACGGGGAAGATACAATGAAGGGAACAACCTGAAAACAAAGCGAAAGTAAGTTTCAGCCCCCTCTACCCTGTACCCCTTCTGGGGGGTCGTAGCCTTGCCCTAGGCTTCAGGAGAGGGTGGGGGTGCTGGGATCTTTCACAGGAGACATGCCTTTATTATCAATTTCTAACAACAAAAACAGAAGCTGAGGGAGACAGATGATGAGTTGACAATCTGAGGAGCAGTTTTCCCTCAGATCATTTAGTCTTTACTTTCATTAATCATTTTTAACAATACTATTGAAGTGCACATAAACTTTGAATATTTAATTGGAAATGTATCAATTAACTTAGATCTCAAAGAGCTTTTCTTCCCACCATGTTTAGCTGCAGAGAAGTTTCCTCTTTGGGGCTGCAGGATCAGCAGCACAGGTTTTCTTTCCTTTCTTTTCCTTTCAAGAACTTGGCTTTATAAGAAGGTAGTGAATATAGTTATATCTTTTTTTTTATCATTTTGCTTTAATACAGAAAACAGAACCACATAATTTCAACAGTTGCCCCACATCATTTTCAGATGAGAGAACAGAGTTCCAGAGCAGCTGGAGATCCACCCAAATTCCCATATGGGGTGGCATTAGGGGGAAGTGGAAGGCAGGGGGCCCGATGTCTCGCCAGGGCTGACTGCATCACCCTGCATGAGGATTGTCATCTACCACCATGATCTGAGTGGCAGGACTGCTAATGGACGAGGGCGCCAAGAAGGTGGCAATATTGTCTCCTGCGCATCTAAC